ACTATGTTATAAACAAAAATATCGCCTGAAAATCTGACTTTTGAAAGGCGAAGCGTAGTTCTTTTCAAACTCCTAAGGATTTTTTGGAGAAATAATTCAGTGCGATTTCATTAAATTTTACAGTTGGATAAAATGCGCTGATTTGACGGTGCGTCAGCTAGTCGAAAATGTACACATCTACACCCAAACTCAATTGTTTCGCATCTCACATCCAAACTACAGCTTTTTGAACATAATATCCACTCACCCTCCATGTTGCTGTATCACAATAGAGGATTGCAGTCCTGAAATTGTTGTATCGCTCCCACAGTATCGATATAACACGGAAGAATAGTGAACACCTCCTGATAACGATTGTTTACAAAGCGTACCTCGGGGTTTCCTTATACCCATTTCGCTAAAAAGGAGGCTGTAATTACTTCAAGAGATCTTTGTTTAGATATAATTCTTCGACGGAACTGCGAACCAAATGTAAACGGAATGTTGCCGAAGTGCATTTTACCGCTTTTAGACCTAGAGACTGCCTCTCAATGATGTTTAGAACAGGTCAGACGTGTTGAAATGGACCCCTAGGCTGTTTTCAAACGCTGGTCGTGTAGAACAAAATTTGGTTTTTCTGAATTTCTGATCTGGATGAGTTATGGAGAGTTATCAAGTTACTTTAAGCAATATTTGCTATTTTGACCTCAATTTACGTGAAAACCAATCTGGAGTACCTCAAATCAGGATGTAAAAGTTTTTCGTTTTCTTTCTTAAATTGAAGGCTCAGTTGGCTGTTAATAATTCCTTTTTACTTCCTTTTCTATAAAGTTCCTCTACATATCAAAGAAACTTATTATTAAGAACTCATAGAAACCTAGAGAAAAAGTGTTTATAATGTAGTATTGTTCTGTTTTGGTCTTTCTTAAATCACGTGCATGGTGTTATTTATCTTTTTGTTCATTCATCCGTTTCTTCACTTAGGTTCTGTTGAGTTAATTGCTCATCTTCAGCAGATGCAACTCAATGTAAGCAAAGTCAATGACAAGACAGACCTAAAAAATGAGTTGAAGAAAATTGCTTCAGACAAGGGCTTCAGAATTATTGACAATGAAGGATCAGGAAATTGCATGTTCTATGCTTTGTCAGATCAAATGGAACTTGCTTTGAGAATCCAAATCAAGCATGATGAATTAAGACAAACATTGGTCCAGTACCTCAGAAAAAACCCTAAACTAGTAAGTTGATTTCTTACACTCTGTGTTAAACTCTGTTACTTTAGGAGCACCATAAAGGTTAGATCCACATGTAGGCCAACTGGCCAACACGTCACTACCCCTCCTGTAGTGGATAATAAGGATAATAAATACAGTGAAATCAGCGTTTAGTATAAACCACAGCGCGCGTTCATTGGTAAGTGATTGGCAAGTACCATTCACCGTCTACTGGTATATACGTAAATAATATTCTACCTCAGTGTCGTTGAAACTGGTGGATAACTACCTCGCCTTTTTCCTCGGTAGATACCCACCCCTATTCGCCTTTGTTTCGGAGAATAATTGTTGAATATTTCTGGATCTCTCTTAAAACCACGCTTTGTTGCTCAAGTGTTTTAGTATAGACCATGTCCGGGTCACGGATGAATTCAGACCTCCTTGTAAAAATTAAGAGCTCCGTCTTGTGGAGAGAGCAGCCAATCAAAGGTTTTTTTAAAATACATCGCCGGCTTGAATCTCCCTCAGACGGGACAATCCTAATTGTATGACCTTGCGTCTGGATAAGGTGGACACTAGATATTCCATGTCTCAGAAGGGCAACTTCAGGAGTTGAGACTGCTACATTGAATGTAGATCCTCGTGTTCATTACTCTGATTGGTTATTATTCGTTCTTACCGTTGTTTAGTATCTCTTTGTTATTTTCTCATTCGATGACTCCTTCCAACGTATTCAACCTAATCCAGTGTACCATTAACTTTATACTCTAAGTTTCGTTCTCTATTTTACCCTTCTCACAGCCGAATGGAACAAATCTGTTTCACTTCGTTTATGGACATCAATCATGGGCTGATTACTTAACGTACATGGAGCAAGATGGCGCTTGGGGTGACCATGTTATTCTATGTGCCGCAGCAAACTGCTACAAAGCTTGCATTCGTGCGGTCAGCAGTCTTAACGCTCCTCACGATGTTATCTTACGGCCACAATGTCCTGTTGACAAAGGCAGGACACTTGTGTTGGGACACATCCATGAAGTACACTATGTCAGCCTTCACTCCACACAAGGTACAATTCTTTACATTACACCCAGTAAATGAAGTGTGAGTTTATAATGATATTTTGTGTAATTATCTACATCACCTAGGAGGGTGGGGGTGGCTCTATCTTTCCTTGGTAAAAGCCACCGTCAAATGATCACTGCTAATGTGACCTGACATAGCAACACTGGAAGCGCTTCGCTAAGTTTGCTCAGTAGAGATTGAGGACAATACTAAGAGCTAACAAAAAAACTGCCATTACAGGCTCCTAGTGGGTTACTATTGATTAATTTTCCGTGAGCGTACAAGCTTTGTCATTTATATTGTGAACTTAACAATGTACTGTCTTGTGAAAATGTTTGTTTCCCATTTCACCYAAAAACAATTCCTGACGAGTGCGGCTGACCGCCATATTTACTTCCGCGCGTGTCAAAACAAGCCAAAACGTACGCCGTTTTTTCTGTACGTTTTGAACAAATCGGCCTCATAAAAGGAGGTTTTATTCCTTATTTATGTAAGTTGATACCTATTGCGATTTGGGGTGAGGCTAATGAGTCACTTTTCTCCTCAATCCTTTTAAGTTCGAAGTTGTCGTTGAATCAAATAGTGGTGAGCCACGATTACATAGTTACTTATCTTGTCTGCTAGTGTTGTAAAGACCTTGGTAAGAGCCAAAGGTTCTAGTTATAATTAATTAGCTTGCTGGCTTCTGCTTATCTTTTTTGCTTGTGGTCCTTTATTTTAAAACTTTCACGCTACTCCTGTATTTAATTTTTCCGGGCTTGTACTGTAAATCTCTGTTATGACCAGAGTGTTAACTTGTGTGTTAATCCTTTAGGAGAAGATGTGGCCAAAAATCGAACAGTTTCGAAATGTAGCAACAGCCAAAAAATTGATTCGGCTCACTTTTTCAAGTTAGACGGGCCTTATAATGAAACAAACTACTGCATACTTGGTTTGGCTATATATTGATTTATTTTCGAGAAAATCGAAAATCTGAAAATCTGGCTTTTTGAAGGCAAAGTGTAGTTCTTTCAACCAATCATTATCAGAAGGTGTTTACTATCCTTCCAATTTATATCGCTACTTTGAGAGCGGCCGATGAAACATTTTCAGGACTGCAATCCCCTATTGTGATACATCAACATGGAGGGTAAGTAGATGTTCTGTTGAAAAAGCTGTAGTTTTGATGTAAAATGCCAAACAATCATGTTTGCGTGTGGATGTGTTCATTTTCTACTAACTGACGACATCGTCAAAACACGGCATTCCATCCAACTTAAAAATGATTAAATCGCGCTGAATCCTATCCCCAAAAAGTTCTTCGGAGATCGAATAGAACTACACCTCGCCTTTCAGAATCCATATTTTCAGTAGATTTATTTTGTTTAGATAAATAACGGGTTACTTTTGTCCTATTTTTGATCTAGCTTAGCTAGAAGATGGTCGGATTAATTCAATTACATTGTGTAAATAAACAATCGAGAGTTGCTCAAATTGTTGTCTAGCTATTTTTTGATGTTGTTTTTCAAGATTGGGTACTTTTTCATTGGTCCAAGTGTTTTCAATTCGTGACGCGACGCTCCAAGATTCGTCTGAAATTCTGACCTTTAAAAGCGGCATTTTGGGGGAACTCAGTTATTATGATTTTCTCGAAAATAAATCCATATTCAGCGAGACGAATTATGCAGTAATTTGTTTCCCACAGAGACCTACCTAACTTTGAAATATTGGCGAAATTGATTTTTCAGCTGTTGCCACTAAATGTGTGACCATTGGTAACATTCACACGTTAGGCCCATTAAGGGAATGGGAACCATTAATTTCTTTGCCTTCTAAACAATTTTGTTTTCGCTAACGGAGAAATCGTTGCTAAGTTCATCGCAATTTTGATATACAGTCAATAGCAGGAATAAGAAAGATTAAATTTCCCTCCTCAAGAATTTAAAATAATCAAGCTTTGTTTGTGCTTGTTCTGAATTCTAGCTGATAGGTTGTCAGTCTAAGCTCGTGACCCGATCTTCTCACGGGAAATTTAATTTCTCTTCAGTGCTTTTGCTCTTTTTTAAGAAACGTCTGTGCAATT